GTCCGAGACCTGCTTTGAGGCAGTAACTCCTGTTTCTTCACTCGAGGTGACCAATAATACATAAATATTTGGTCTGAATCCTAATTTTATGTCATTTTAATGAGGAATTTTTGATGTTCTTATAAAGAGGAAACCTCAAATTATATTTGAAAAATGAGATTTCCCAGCTAAGAAGAAACAAAACTTTGCTAGCTCACAGGGAAAAATCTCAAAATTTTAAGGCGTTTTTCCTCAAAATCAGTTTTTTTGTTGCTATTGCTCAAAAAAGTGCTTCAAAGTTTTGTTTTATGATTATGTTTCAGACAGTTCATTCAAATGATACATTGATAAGGCTTTTATTCATTATATTTTGACAAATTGCAATTTTTGTTAACATTTTAGTCAAAACACTATATTTGCCTATTTCTCCATATACCACTGTTGGACTTAATCCTCGTTTCGATGTGATGGGTCACAAATATGAAAAATAACGTAACGTTTTTGTGTTAATTATGTCATGTTTGTCTAGTTTTTGTACTGTGTTATGAAAACATGCAATTACTGGAATTTTGTAATCTTCACTTTTTGAGTTGGGAAAACTCGCAGATGGAAATTAAATAGTTTAAACCACAGACTAGAAATCCATCAGCTTTGTTTGTTTACAGTTTTTGGATCTGTCATAAAAGACAGTGGACAAAGTGCATTTCTGCTTTTAATAATAGGACATTTATTGATTTACTAAACCCATATAAATAAAGATATGTATATATTATTTAGAACTGTGCACCATTTTTACTCATTTTTATGTTTTCACCACAACAAATTTCCAAACTAAGTCTGACAACACATTTGTAAACAGAAACCATAATATCTATGATTCCGGGATATTTTGAATGAGTCCAGGCTTTGAGGCCTGGGCTACAGGATCAGTTCACAGATCTGCCTCAATCATCTTCTAACAGAACCTTCTCTGACTTTAGACAACACAGCCAGCATCCTGACCCGCCGGGCCAGCTACAGCCGCCTTCATCAGCAGGTTTACCTGGTTCCTGTGGTCATCTCTGACGGTGGCTACCCCATGCTGAGCAGCACCCAGACCCTCACAGTCAGGGTTTGTTCGTGCATCCGTGAAGGCAGCGTGGAAACCTGTAACCCAGAGGCTTACAGCAGCTCTCCAGGCCTCGGCACTGGAGCCCTCATCGCCATCCTCCTCTGTGCTCTCATATTACTGGGTGAGTGAGAACAGGTATTCGTTAAAGGGGACCAATTATGCAAAATTCACTTTTTAAAGTTTTTTTTTACTCAACTTTGGGTATGTACTTCTTTAAAAAAACAGTCCTGGGACCAAAAAATGCACCCAGAGGCATATTTACTGTAAGTAAATGTATTTTTAATGTATATTAACGACAAGTTTTATACTTCCATCATTTTGTGATGTCACAAGCCGTACGACAACCCACCAGAACCTGTGTTCAGCCCCTTACTTAGCAACCCCTGGGTGAGGCTCCTCCTCAGTAGAAAAAGCCATCACGGTTGTTGTTGTGCAATGTGCAGCTCATTTCACGACAAGCCTCCAATAGAGCAATGGGTAGAGTGTTGGACCAGAGAGTGGGAGACCAGGGTTTGAAACCAGCATGGACACTATTTAATTATTTATTTTCAATCGTTATGAACACGTTTTCTCATGTACCTCTATTGTTTAGCTTATTAAAG